TTTGGCATGGAACGTTCTTCGTTTCACAATGTACGTTCTTCGTTTGAGAAAATACATCGTTTGGCAATATACGTTGTTTGTTTTAAAAAGAACGTTCTTTGTTTGTAAAAGTATGTTGTTTATTTTTTAAAATACATTGTTTATTTGTAAATGTACGTTGTTTGTTTGAGAAAGCACGTTTATTGTCTAAAATTGTATATTTGGCGGTGATTGTTTTTGATACTCGCCATGCAAACCTTTAAGAAATATTTTGTAAGTTAATACCATAAATCAAGGTGAACAGTGCATCTTTAACTAGGCCCTACATTTGAGATCGCATTGGGTGTGCTCCAAAATTGCAGACATCATTCACTTAGTGTTCTTGATCACCGAAGAAGTTCTCAATCGCAGTTATTCTTATATTAGGTTATTATTTTTTTCGATTTTATTTTTGCATCTTTTCAATAGAATTGCCCACAACTCCCTGTCATCTGTCATTTTTTCCCCTTCTGGACAGCACCGCCAACGAGCGAATTTAAAAACTGTAAAAGAAAAACCGAGTATGGGACGCCAATTAAATTTGCTATGACGCGCATTGAGCGCAATAAAATCATATTTCACCCAAATTATAGCCTGGGTTCCAGGCCATAATTTTGGGTTACTCGCTCTTTATTGCACAGGATAAGTAAAATACAAAAATAGGTAGTGATTTATATTTATAATTTAGGGCCGGATATTGGATTTTGCCATTATACAAAAATGAACCAACTGAGGTTAGCTAGGAGGCAAAAAATGGTTCCACGATTTGGAATACAGTACAGAATTCACTAAATATAATGAAAATATTTAGGCTTTGTTTGTAATCTAGTATAGTAGGTCACTACATCAACACCCCATCAACAATTATATTCTGTGTCATCCAAACATGCCATACAATTAGTCTCACTAATTACTATTATTATTATTCATTGACAATAATTAATAATACTACAAAAAAATAGTTCATCTATGAAAATTTAGTTGCCAGTTGATGAATCATTTTTTTAAACTTCTTATATGCCAGGCCCGTAGGCAGGATTTTCGATGGAGAGGTGCATTTTGCAACCGTAGTGGACCTTACGATGAGCGACTGCCTAGGGATCCCCGCGAGGGTGGGGCGAATCTTCTGGAAGCTCTGACAAATTAGCATTTTGAGGGCGTTTTTTAATGGATTTCTAAAATCCATAATTTGTAATATCCTATTTAAATTTTCATTCATTTGAGTATTGTCTAGGGACCTACAATAAAGCATGAGAAATAGAGGGTGGGGTGAAGGGAGAAACTTGCACAGCTCAGGGCAAGACCACCTCAGCCCCACCATGGTTGGGGCTGAGGTAAGAAAATTTATGATTATGGCACCTCAAAGTGGCCGGAAATGGCACTCTCAGACAAACATTAATTATGATTTTTCTTTTTTCTCCATTTCTTTTATAATTTTAGGGGGATCTGCCCCCTTGAATCTACCACTGTGAAATCATAATTTTTCATGTCCTTTACATCTGTAGGCCTACAATCACTGGAGCTGATAATTTCCAACAGATTTCGTAGCACATTATTAAAAATCAACAGGTAGAAGAGCGGGCAAAAAAATGTAATGCATACTATATAGCATTTCGCGATAATTAGGAACGATTTTTGTGAAATAATAGGTTTTAAAAAGTGGACTTTTTGAAATTTCGTGGTCCAGGAGCAGAGGTCTGGAGGGGGTTTGTGAGAAAAGCGACGAAGTAGCATTTTGAGGGTCTTACATAATAGATTTCTCAAACACATGATAATTCATGAATATTTCATTTAAATTTTCATTAATTTGGGTGTTTTTTGGACTTGAAAAAAGTAACGTCATTATGTCCTGTACATCTGCAGGCCTATAGATAACATTCATATTATATAGATCAATCTGCAATCACCGGAGATGATCAATTTCTAACAAATTTCATACCACATTATTAAAAATCAACGGTTAGATAAGCTGGCAAATATATAATGCAATGCATGCTATAGCATTTTGTGATAATTAGGAACGATTTTGTGAAATCGTTAAGTTTTAAAAAGTAGACCTTTTGGAATTTGGGGTGGAAATTTGTGGGGGGGGGGAGGGAGGATGCGTCCACACCCTCTGCACTGATTTCAACTAACTATTATGGAATTCTCCCCAGGGATGTGCTTGATCCAATGACTGAGGGCAATAATGTGAGGCACTTAGAGGCCTTGCTGACATGAAGCACTATAGAAGTGGAACATATTTTTATTATTAAAAAAGAAAGAAAAAATTCAGGAAAATATATATTTGTTTTAATAATTTCTATTAAATCACTGCCTAAAAATCTCCAAGATAAGAAATCTGTATTCCTTCCTAAAATAAACATAAATTTAAAGCATTAATCGGATTCCTATGCTGATTATATCACAATAGAATATAGAATGAGAACCTTGGTAGAGCCCCCATCTTAAAATCTATGTGTGGCTTTATAAATTCAATATTTTTTTATTCATCAATACAATTTTTTTCCCTGTTTGATGCATTTGGCAAAACCATTTGGTAAATGAGAAAACAATTTTTTTTCCAACCCTCCTCTGATGACCATTAAAAAATAAAGTTAACAAAACAAGTTATAAAAATTCATGTCTTCTAAAAATATAATTTCTTT